TACAGTTACAGCAAAATGAGAAGACAATATTTGTGTTTATAAAAAGATACAATACTCACCAATCTATTTTCATCAAACACTTCAAAGAGCAGTCTATGGTTAGAGGGATTTACCTAAAAGAGAAAGAATATGCAACTCTTATTGAAAGAGAAAAATAATTACCTCTTCACAAGCGCCGTGGTTATTTCGTCAAGCGTTAGCTGATGCAAACAAATCTTGCCTATTTTAAAACAGCTATACTGGCTGCCAATTTGTCTCAGAGTTCAGTCAAAGTTGTCAGTTCTTTTTTTAAAAAATTATTTTTATTCTTTAACTTAAAAGTACACGTAAATACAAAAGGAGGAAGTGAAAGCTCAAAAAGAAAAGTACAAGTACAAGTAATGTCCTCTATATGTATAATATCAACTATGAAACAAAAATGAATCTGTAATCTAATTCTTGGTGACCACATGTATAAATATGATTAAACTCGTTGAAACTAAAGGCTACTTTCTTTCATGACACCCTCAGTCAGTGCTACATATCATACAGTGTGAATGGACTTACACCTCTTATTCAAATACCGAAGTTCTCCGGTGCGTTATAAGAACAACCACCTGTGATAAATATGGTTTGTGGGTAATATCTCGTGCTTTGTCATGTAATCCACTACCGGCGACCAAAACCTCCTAAATTGTCAGTTCTGACTTTTAAAGCTTGCCTCGCCTATGACCATCTCTCCCCATACATCCCTGTGTACCAGACACAGTCTTCCGATTACCTTCTTCTAGTTCAGAGGCCCCCGACCTTTTTGAGCCTGTGGGCAATTTTGAAATTCTGACACAGAATGGTGGGCATAGCCACAAAATGGCTGCCGTAGCTTGCTTTCAGCCATACAGTGAAGACTCTTGTGCTGTGGTGGCAGCTGCCACCAAAGTAATATTTTTTTAAAATCTGCATAGCCAATCAGAAGACTTGCTGAGTAAAAGCTCCACCCACTGAATAAAAGCTCCACCCATTTGTGGGCACCAGAAAAAATGTCAGTGGGTGCCATGACACCCATGGTCACCACATTGAGGTCCCCTGTTCTAACTGTTCCACCACTTAAAGTTGTCCATCTACCAGGGCCTTCCATCTACCAGGGCCTTGTCTTTTTCAGTTATGGTTCCCACTTTGTGGACAGGCCATCTCAGCTGGAGAGGAGAACACAGTCTCCTCACATTTTTAGGAGGCAGTATAGGACCATTTTTTTTAAAGCAATACTGCCTCCTAAAAATGTCAGAAGACTGTGTTCTCCTCTCCAGCTGAGAGGTGGGAACTCCAGAGCATGACAGAAGACAGGAGGGCCTGGCGTGATGTGTTCCATGGAGTCGCGAAGAGTTGGACTCGACTGTGCGACTGAACAATAACAAAAGAGGACCATTGTATTTGCTAGAGCTTTTAAGAAGATTTGAGTTACGGGCATTTTGGGTGGGGGGTAAAGAATTTTTGTCATATGATATACAGTTTTCATCAGCCATAAGGAGGGGGAAACAGTATAAACGTGTTAATAAATGAATGAAGGACCCAACACAGTTCTTCTTGATTGGCCTAATTTTAACTAAGGTTTATTTATTCACTTCACTTATATGCTCCCTTTCTCCTCAATGGGGACCCCAAGCAGCTTACATCATTCTCTTCTCCTGAATTTTATTCTCACAGCAACCCTGTGAGGAAGATTAGGCTAAGAGCAGAGGTCATTTCGGGGGGGGATCGCGGGGGATCGCCGTTCCCCCGGGTGAGGTATGGGGGTGGGGCACATGACGAAGCCCCGACCCCTGCTTCCGGCCACCCCGCTTCCAGCCCTCATTCAGCCAGGAGGAGGCAGGAGAAGAGGGAGGGTAAGTTGCTCCCTCCCCGCCTCTCCCCACCCCTGCCTGCCTGGGGCCAGGGAGGGCCTTGGCGGGGCTTCCTCGCACTCCCGCTGGCCTTGCAGGTCCACCGCCGGGCCCCTGATGTCAGGGGGTGTGGCATATGCTAATGAGTTATGCTAATGAGTCCCCCTAGCTCTTTTTCTACGAAATGACCCCTGGCTAAGAGTGTGCGTCCAAGATCACCCAGCAACCAGCCATGGCAGGGTAGGGATTTGAA